GTTCATTTATTTTTGCTCCACCAATGAAACAGAACAGTTCAATGTTGGAACAAGACAAGCAGCTTAACAAAAATAGATGTTTTCAGTGTTATTTTTGTATTATTAATATAGTATTACAGTATTTAATATTTTTATTTCATTTTTTTAATTTTCATTTTAGTGTAAGCTTAAGTCATTTTGTTGTGTTTTGTCTTTTTTTTTTTTTAGTCTATTTCATATTATTATTTTTTATTTCAGCTTTTAGTTTTTCAGTTTTAGTAATTTTAGTACTAAATGAAAACTCAATTAATTTTTATTTTATTTCAGTTAACATTTATTTAATAATTATTAATATTTTTATAATAAATTATAGACAGACAGACAGACAGATAGATAGATAGTTAGATAGATAGATAGAGACACAGACAGACAAATAGATAGACAGACAGACAGACAGACAGACAGACAGATAGATAGATAGATAGCTAGATAGATAAATAGATAATAGATAGATAGATAGATAGATAGATAGATAGATAGATTTTATAATGAGATGTTATTATTGTCAGTAACATGAACCCTAACAATCACAGGGAGGGAAGATCCCAATCCGCTGGACGGCTCCAGAAGCCATCACATACAGGAAGTTCACCTCAGCCAGTGACGTGTGGAGTTACGGCATCGCCATGTGGGAAGTGATGTCATATGGTGAACGACCATACTGGGACATGAGCAACCAGGATGTGAGTGGCACTGTACCACAAATCTAATGAATTACGTATGCTTGTCATGCCTTCAACGCTGGCGTTCCCCTGGTACACTTTCCAGAAGTGCATGCAAAGTAATTAATACTCGGCTTTATCATGCTATTGTGTGCCATGCCAAGTTATACAAACCAACTGAATGCCGTAGATCAGCAAGATCAGCCATTCATTTCCTCTCCCCTGTTTCCTAGGTGATAAAGGCAATAGAGGAAGGCTACCGGTTGCCGCCGCCCATGGAGTGTCCGCTGGCTCTGCATCAGCTCATGCTGGAGTCCTGGATGAGGGAACGAGCGGACAGACCCAAATTCAGCCAGATTGTCAACATGCTGGACAAACTCATACGCAATCCTGCCACGCTCAAGAGGACGGCAGGAGATGCCAGCAGGTGAACATGCACACTTACACAGACTCACACAGAGATTTCCATTCACATTTTTTATTGCTATTTTGGGTATATTTTGGTCCCAAAATCCTAAAATATGTGTTTGGCTAATTCCTAATTCCTAAATTCCGTTATGAACTTGTATTTAGGTTTTTCTATTCTTCTGGAGACATTTTCAGAAATGTAATCTTGACAAGAAGCTACTTATAATTGCTGTAATCTGTAATATTTCAAAATGCTCAATTTAATCTGCTATTGTGTTTCAGAATGCATTTAGTCTATTTTTTTAAGAAATCTGTTCAGCAAGGATACATTACATTGATCCAATGTGACAGTAAAAACATTTATAATATTGGAAAAGATTTCTATTTCAAATAAATGCTGTTCTTACATTAATTAAAATTCATTAAAAAAAAGATAATAAAAAATGTGTCCTGGTTTCCACAAAAAAATATGTAAAACATTAATAACAAGAAATGTTTCTTGAGCAGCAAATCAGCATATTAGAATGATTTCTGAAGCATCATGTGACACTGAAGACAGGAGTAATGATGCTGAAAATTCAGCTTTGATCACAGCAATAAATTGCATTTAAAAATATATTCAAATAGAAAACAGTTATTTTAAATTGTAGTAATATTTCATATTTTTACAGTTTTTAGTGTATTTTTAATTAAATAAATGCATCCTTGGTGAGCATGAGAGACTTCTTTCAAAAACATTTTAAAAAATCTTACAGACCCCAAACTTTGAAGAGTTTTGTATGCTTCTGGTTTAACCTAAAATATGCATTTTGGTGCGCACACTCACACACACACGTTTACTTGGCTATCTAAATGGGGACATTACATGGAGTTCTATTGTTTTTATATACAGATAGTTATACATTTTTTAACCTAAACCCACCCCTACCCCTCACAGAAAACTTTCTGCATTTTTACAATTTCAAAAAATCTTTGTTTACTTTATTTTTATACCAGTTTTACAAATGAGGAGGTCCCCAAATGGAGCTTTTTGGCGATTTTGTCAGGTTTTGCTCACTTTTGGGTACAAATTTGTCCCCACAATTATGGTTAAATAGGTACACACAGGGGCGGACTTACCCATTAGGCAAAGGTAGGCGACCTCCTTGGGCCCCCAAAAGCCAAGGGCCCCCTAAAATGCTTTTCATATAGGATATGCGCATTAAGCACTGACACGCGAACGGTCGCTGTTTACGGTGTTATTCGCTGGCTCTGCATCAGCTCATGCTGGAGTCCTGGATGAGGGAACGAGCGGACAGACCCAAATTCAGCCAGATTGTCAACATGCTGGACAAACTCATACGCAATCCTGCCACGCTCAAGAGGACGGCAGGAGATGCCAGCAGGTGAACATGCACACTTACACAGACTCACACAGAGATTTCCATTCACATTTTTTATTGCTATTTTGGGTATATTTTGGTCCCAAAATCCTAAAATATGTGTTTGGCTAATTCCTAATTCCTAAATTCCGTTATGAACTTGTATTTAGGTTTTTCTATTCTTCTGGAGACATTTTCAGAAATGTAATCTTGACAAGAAGCTACTTATAATTGCTGTAATCTGTAATATTTCAAAATGCTCAATTTAATCTGCTATTGTGTTTCAGAATGCATTTAGTCTATTTTTTTTGTTCAGCAGTTCAGCAAGGATACATTACATTGATCCAATGTGACAGTAAAAACATTTATAATATTGGAAAAGATTTCTTAAATGCTGTCAAGGATACATTACATTGATCCAATGTGACAGTAAAAACATTTATAATATTGGAAAAGATTTCTATTTCAAATAAATGCTGTTCTTACATTAATTAAAATTCATTAAAAAAAAGATAATAAAAAATGTGTCCTGGTTTCCACAAAAAAATATGTAAAACATTAATAACAAGAAATGTTTCTTGAGCAGCAAATCAGCATATTAGAATGATTTCTGAAGCATCATGTGACACAGAAGACAGGAGTAATGATGCTGAAAATTCAGCTTTGATCACAGCAATAAATTGCATTTAAAAATATATTCAAATAGAAAACAGTTATTTTAAATTGTAGTAATATTTCATATTTTTACAGTTTTTAGTGTATTTTTAATTAAATAAATGCATCCTTGGTGAGCATGAGAGACTTCTTTCAAAAACATTTTAAAAAATCTTACAGACCCCAAACTTTGAAGAGTTTTGTATGCTTCTGGTTTAACCTAAAATATGCATTTTGGTGCGCACACTCACACACACACGTTTACTTGGCTATCTAAATGGGGACATTACATGGAGTTCTATTGTTTTTATATACAGATAGTTATACATTTTTTTACCTAAACCCACCCCTACCCCTCACAGAAAACTTTCTGCATTTTTACAATTTCAAAAAATCTTTGTTTACTTTATTTTTATACCAGTTTTACAATTGAGGAGGTCCCCAAATGGAGCTTTTTGGCGATTTTGTCAGGTTTTGCTCACTTTTGGGTACAAATTTGTCCCCACAATTATGGTTAAATAGGTACACACAGGGGCGGACTTACCCATTAGGCAAAGGTAGGCGACCTCCTTGGGCCCCCAAAAGCCAAGGGCCCCCTAAAATGCTTTTCATATAGGATATGCGCATTAAGCACTGACACGCGAACGGTCGCTGTTTACGGTGTTATTACCACAACAACCGTCCGAGTCCGTGGCGCCTGCAGGTGTACGGCACTGTGAGTACCATGAGCGCTCAGACTGACCTCAGATTTGCCCCACAAACATTTCAGCAGTTATAGGCCTGTGTGTCCCGTATTTCTGTTGACTGAACCAGCCTCCTAATTGGATGTGCCTTTAGAGAGAAATGCACGGATTACATAATGAAAAAGTTTATTTTATTAGGAGTCTATTTTCGATTTGAATAATTTCGTTTTAAAGTAGTAATTCAAAGCTTTCCATATATTTTGATCATGTCTGAGTTTAGGTTCATCATTGTGAAGCGCTCCTGTTCAAGCCCGAAACGGTAGAAACGGCTTTATTTTATAAAAGCACAACGTTTTGTTGATATTGTGAGAACACACAAATAAAACTAGACCCTTTACAGTTTATAATGATGTATTACTCACCTTTATGAGAAAAAATGACTGCGTAGGCTATTTTAAGTTGTTTCCACTGTTACACAGTTACTTAAAAAAAATAAAAACTTACATTTAACGAACAAAAATACTCCAGACGTTTTTCTAACTTTACTTTATAAAAAAAGAAACGAAATATAATCACTTTTCCATTACACATAAAACTGAACTATTTTAATAGCTGAAACCGTAGTAGCCTATAAGCTTTTTTTTGGGAAAAGGGGAAAAAAGATGGGCTAGGATATTTGAGGCCCGTGCAGGGCTTTAATCCACTTCGTCCAACACTGTTTTGTTCTCATCTGTGATATTTTTTCACACTTTTCTCATTCTATATTTCTGACGTTCCAAAAGTGCCTCCTATTGGCAGAGGATGAATGTTCATTTTCAATAATCCAGTCTGTAATTTTTGTTCAGACCAATGCAAAAATCCACCCACATAACCCCGTTTTAAATTAATATAATAATTTATACTTCTGGCTCATCCCTGGTTTTAAATGCTCAATTGTGAGGTTTATCATTTTATAATTTATTTTATTTTTGTGAAAGCCTGTATCTCAACTGTAAATCAGTTGCTATGTCGTGGTCTACAACATGAAAGAAAGCCATTATAACATGTACATGAAAAATGTAGAAAAGATAATAATTCGCTGAAAAATGACAGTTTTGGCATCATTTACTCACCCTCGTGTCGATCCAGTTCCACATGACTTTCTTTTTCTGTGAAAGGAGAAAGCAGAGTGTCTGAGCTTCTGTTTATCATTCAACAAAAGTAGAAAGTGATTTATACAGTCAAGCTCGGAGTTCAGGAGCTTTATAGGAGCTTTCGGTTAACGCTTCTTTTAATTTAAGTGCATACATACTCACCTTTTCTTCATGTAAATACTGGAGTTCCTCAAGGATCTGTTTTAGCCCCTTTGGTGTTTTCTATTTATATTAATGATTTAGGTCATGGAATAGGCTCAGCTAAAATACATTTGTATGTAGATTATACAATTATTTATATGACAGCATCTTCTTTAAAACAAGCTTTACAGCAACTACAGGATGCTTTTCTAATTTTGCAGCGCTTGTTGTTGCAGTTAAAATTGGTTTTAAACTCAAATAAGACAAAGTATATGATTTTTAGTCACGGTCGCACTAAGGTAACAGATCTGACAATTACAACCTTGAATGGTTCACTTATAGAAAGAGTTAGTTCCTATAAATATCTAGGTATTTGGATGGATGAAAGATTAGCTTTTGATATACATATTGATAAATTGTTGAAAAAGCTTAGACCAAAACTAGGCTTCTTTTATCGTCTAAAAAACTGATAAGTTTCCCTTATAAGGCCTGCAAGAAATTAGTAGAGTATATTTTTATCAATAATTGATTATGGTGATCATTTATATATGCATGCAGCTACTTCTTTACTTTGAAAATTTGATTTTCTTTATCATGCAGCATTAAGTTTTGTCACTGGTGCTGAGTCACGGATGCATCATTGCATTTTGTATGACTCTTTAGATTGGTTATCTTCACATCAAAGGAGAAAGTTACATATGTACTTATTTAATCGTAAAGGCTCTATTAGGTAAATTACCATCTTATATTTCTAATTTGTTAACATTCCATATAAATAGTTGTTGTACTAGATAAGGTAATTGTATTCGGTTAATAGTTCCAAGGGTATTGTCAAAATTTGGTAAATGTGCTTTCTCAGTTTATGCTCCTTGGGCCTGGAATGAATTGCAAAATGTAATTAATCTTGACACACTTCCAACATTGAGTACTTTTAAATGTCTTTTGTATAATGTTTTAAATGATACTTGTAATTGTTTTTCATGATCTGATTTTGTTTGTGAATTGTGATTGTGTAATTTGTGGTACTGTCTCTGTGATTCTTTTTGTATGAAACTTTATGTGCTGCCGTCTTGACCAGGTCTCACTGGAAGAAGAGATAGCAATATCTCAATGTGATTTCCTGGTTAAATAAAGGAATAATAATAATAATAATAATAATACTTTGTCTCCAAATCAGGGGCGGACTTACCCATTAGGCAAAGGTAGGTGACCGCCTTGGGCCCCCAAAAGCCAAGGGCCCCCTAAAATGCTTTTCATATAGGAGATGTGCATAAGCGCTGACACGCGAACGGTTGCTGTTTACAGTGTTTATTACCACGACAACCATCCGAGTTGAATGTGGTTTTTGTGTATCCTGCTTGAAGGCGATGAAAATATCATGCATCTGAAGCTGTAATTAAATATTGAGAAACAGTGTGCATTATACGTTTATAATTGTTTTAAATGCCGCTTATTTATGAGAAGGAACCAAGTAGAGGACACATACGCAGTTACTTTTTTGGATGAAATAATTCTTAGGTGTGTAAATGTATAATTGCCTTTTCATTATTTTTTTCAGTTTAATTTAAATTTGTAGTTAAAATAACTAGAAATACATTTATTTTAAAGTTTAGAATTAGACAGCCTTTGCACACAGGCTTACGCTGGTAACTCATCAGTGGACTTTCCTCCTCAATATAGGCTATATTTTTTCACACTTTTCTCATTCTATATTTCTGACGTTCCAAAAGTGCCTCCTATTGGCAGAGGATGAATGTTCATTTTCAATAATCCAGTCTGTAATTTTTGTTCAGACCAATGCAAAAATCCACCCACATAACCCCGTTTTAAATTAATATAATAATTTATACTTCTGGCTCATCCCTGGTTTTAAATGCTCAATTGTGAGGTTTATCATTTTATAATTTATTTTATTTTTGTGAAAGCCTGTATCTCAACTGTAAATCAGTTGCTATGTCGTGGTCTACAACATGAAAGAAAGCCATTATAACATGTACATGAAAAATGTAGAAACATTAGACACAACTATGGGGCACCATTGTGCAGCAGCAAGCATCACAACAAAAAAGGAACCTCAAGGTTGATCTAGGAAAATGTGTGCAAATGTATAGGGCCCCATTCCTATATTTTGCCTGGGGCCCCCAATTCACTAAATCCGCCCCTGGGTACACACACACACATAATTCTGACAAGTTCATTTTCTCTGGGTAAAAATGTATTCTCTGATGTTGTCGCCCTCAGGCCCCACCCCTCCACACTTCACCACGCCCCCTCTTTGGGTTCTGTGGATGAATGGCTGAAAACCATTGGACTTGAGCAATACAGAGAAAACTTCAGCACAGCAGGATTCTGCAGTTTAGAGAGCGTCTTACCCATGAGTCACGAGTGAGCACCACTTTAACACATTACACAGCCAATTACACATCCTGATGAGCTTGAAGATGACTTTAGCTTACCAAAACTCCCTCTTTTACAGGGATCTGGGCAAAATGGGAATCTCATGCAGTGCACATCAGAGGAAGATCCTGAGCAGCGTGCAGGAATTGTTGTCTGGAATGCATCACAGACAAGACACAAAGGTTCCTGTCTGATCTGTGATGAGGGGAAAAAAACAATGCATCATGTTGGTTAACATGGATTACAAGAGGGACGGAATATTTCACATCACTCTTGCACTTTAATGAAAACGAACGGTGTGAAGATCAGAGTGAATGAGCTAAACTGCACTTTTTCTGGGCCTCTTTGTGCTTCTATGAGGAATTTTCTTCAAGTCTAAAGATTTTAAACTTGCATTATCCCAAGAATTAAAATGACTTAATGCATCTCTCCAGATGAGATGTTTCTGGCCCTGTCGTTCAAGGCGGCAAGGCAGAAAGTTGGGCAAGTGTCCTCCTTCTGTAAGTGGAAAGAACCGTTTCAACTAAGTGCAAACAGACTACGACCCCAAGAATTAAAATGACTTAATGCATCTCTCCAGATGAGATGTTTCTGGCCCTGTCGTTCAAGGCGGCAAGGCAGAAAGTTGGGCAAGTGTCCTCCTTCTGTAAGTGGAAAGAACCGTTTCAACTAAGTGCAAACAGACTACGACGCTTTTCACCTCAGGATCTTTTCAGGATGGCCACTCGTCATCAGCTGGAAAGAATTGTTCCCTGTGGATCAGATTCGAACATTATATTCGGATCTTTTGCCTCGGGAGATTTTGAGCCTTTGCAAACTAAACTAACAGACCTTTTGGACGGTGTGTGTTTATTTTATGAAGGCCAGATGGGAGTTTCAGAGGCATTGCTGAATGGAAAATTATATTGCTTTATTTGTTGAAAAAAATAAAAATAAAAGGAATGAGGAGATAGATCCAGATAAGATTTAGTCTTAAGTTACTCATGTTCCATGTATCCAATCTTTACATTTTTAAGTAGCAAAGTAAAAGACTCAATCTGATGGTCTTTCTTGTTTTTTTCTCTCCTTTTAATTTCCACATCTAAATAAATGTCTGTACCATTGACTCTGCACCCAGAGATCCTACGCAAACAGCTAAATCTGTGTATAAATTGATCAAATGTTTGAAACTGCTGAGTTGAATCATTGCAAGAATGTCATAGTCACAGATATATTTTTTGAAACTTTTTTTCGCTGTACATAATCTAGGATTTTGTGTGTACATAGTTTTTAATGGTTTTTCTTCATGATGTACATAATACCAGCAGACGTTTCCATGTACAGCTTCTGAGTTCCCTCATTTTCTTCCTTTTTTTCTTTACATGTGTTAACAGAATGTATTTAATTATACAGTGAGCATAATATTCATGTTGGCAGTAAATTTAACATTGTAAAACAGCAGTACATTTAAGAAAGGTTCGGTAACATGAGTCTTTTAATTTCACAGTTTCTGTATTTCCATCTTTAGGTGCACCTAACTTAAGAGCTTTATTTATGATCTTTTGTATCTAGTTCATAAAATAAAAATTCAAATAAATAGTTTATAGTTGGCGTTCTATATTTATAATAATGAAATCCATTATACAACATATCCACATATCTTTACGTTAGTATAAACCAAGCATGGCATTCTTTCCTCAAGTGCATGATGTTATTCTTCATACTGTACTGTACATACAGCTTGCAATGATATTAATATTGATGCATTTTTCACTTTCTTTTAAAGGGGTCATATGATGTTGCTAAAAAGAACATTATTTTGTGTATTTGGTGTAATGAAATGTGTTTAAGGTTAAAAAACCACATTATTTTCCACATACTGTACATTATTGTTTCTCCTCTATGCCCCGCCTTTCTGAAACGCGTAGATTTTTACAAAGCTCATCGGTCTGAAAAGCGAGGTGTACTCTGATTGGCCAGCTATCCAGTGCGTTGTGATTGGCCGAATACCTCAAGCGTGTGATGGAAATGTTACGCCCCTTAACATACTGTGATGATGCCCTGTCCGGACGAATGTCATCAGTGGCAAATTCTTTAAATATGAAAACGTACAGTCTGTGAGTCAGAACAGCCGGCATTGTAGTCTACTCTCCCAGGATCAGGAAACAGTCCTCCATAAAATGTGCTGCACACATCTGAATATTTGGGTTGAACTGTTCTGGAACAGTGTTGTAAATACAACTTAACCACTGGTTTCTAGTCGTGTCCGCTTTTGGAAGACCAAACAAAGTAGCTTCACTTTCACAACAAAACAGAGTCACACACGGCGGCCTTGAGTGAGCAGAGGCGGGCGGGCTTGCGGCAACCACATGTGGCGACCCCGGGCTGGACTCCACTTCGTCCACGGTGAAAGCCGATCCACAGCGCGAAGTTGATGTATTTCCTCAGCGACCAGCACGGATCAGCTC